CCAGTATGCTTATCTATTCAGACTTGCCTATTGGGGGCTCATATCCCAGGGGTCCCTGATGCCATTATGAGATTGATACATACTATTTGTATTGCCACTTTATGGTCTATTGCCTTACACTGGAGATCCAATGCTGTACCTTTGGCCTCCATCCTGCACAGAATTGATGCTGTAATGCTCATGGAACGCATTCATTATACTTTGCTGGATAAGATGCACTTATTTGATAAAAATGGGAGTCATGAGGGATTATAGACATTTATTGCATGATTGATAACGTTTTCAGTGAACAATGACTGACAGATGCTGTTGACAGACGTATTATTCAATTCTCTTATCATTAACGTATTTCATGTACTTGCAATCTACTTTTCTTCTGTTTCTTCTCTTCATTATTATGATATCTTTTTCTGAATTGTACTTTTCCAAAGTGCCTTGTTTTTGCTGTTAATATTTGAAAATGTGCTGTTATTTTATTGTCTACTTATACTCAATAAAATCGTTTGTAAACAAAAAAATACATTTACATTTTTGGTTGTAACAAAATGTGGAAAATTTCAAGGGGTATTAATACTTTTTCAAGGCACTGTAGTTGGGCATTGCACTGAAGAACTAAACTACACTAACTTAGGTGCAACTGGAACTCTATATTGAACAGAAATACAGGTTTTTATACAGTTCAGAAATAGGGGCAGTCCCCACATGAACAATAAAAAACAAATATTACACATTGGGATAAACATCCCACACTGACTACGTAATGAGGTGACGTTGACACAAAACTAATCCCATCATGTAGGAACCTCCAGGAGGACTAGCCAATAGACAGGAACAATACTTGACTCAAATCAATTAACACTGGGACAAATACACAACAGTAAACCATAATAAACAGATTACAGCAAAAGACCTCAGTATCAGGTTGTTTTGAGCTGATTATATTCCCATTTGCTCTGTGTCTAGGAGGGGGGGTTGAAGCAGTCAATATATTGGTTTGGGCACCCAAATCTGTATCCTGGTCCTCCAGTTCTCAGTGTCTGTGTGTTTTTGGGAAAAACATGGACTCCAAAGTAAAACTACTATAAAGGTCCCCCAGCCAAACAGCTCCCAAATGATAAGAGTCCCCTCAGATGCCAGGGCCCATGGTCAGTAGGCAAGAGGCTAGTCTGCAGTCCTCTCCAAAAGCCCCTTTCCCGGTTGGGTCTGTCAAAGACACATTGGAAGAATCCTTGAAAATGGTCAAACCCATAAGATTGCAACTTCCATACTTCTAACCTGAGAGCCATAACGATGATGTTTTGGGTTGTGCTTGGCAGTTCCACAGGTTCTGCTCCCATCTTTTCACATCTGACTAGTCCACATAGTGAGTCCTCCCAAGGTGGGGAACGTCAACAGAGTACAGCGAGCTTCCAGCCTCTTCTTTTTCTTCAAAGATAGCGATCTTCAGAGACAAGGAGATTACTGGAGATTCAGATTTTGTAATGGACAGCAAGAGGCAACAATGGGATCACCTCATTTACTCCAGGCCAGAGCCAGGTTCCAGGTAAATCAAGGGTCTGTTGAAGTACAATATCCCAGTACGGACCCAGGTTCTTCACATTCACAAACACCACACCCTTCTTCTAGCCCTGAGACCAGCACAGAACAGGAAGGAACACAATTACACAGTCAGTACAGAACTCTAAATGGTAATTTTTTTTAAACCACAGAAAAGTGGGTTTTTATATCAGGGGCACTGAATTAAAGTTCACAGAGGTCCGGTTAGTAAATTTTTTTCCAACAGAGGTCCGAATCACTTGTTGTGCTATGACTCAGATCCTTCGCATGACAACCTCTCTCTCCTCTTAGGCATTCCCATCTCTGCAGCTGGGGAACGCAAGCGAAATTGCCCAACCTGCAGAGGAACACGGCACACTTTAGCACATGCGTGTGCCAAACCGCATGGCCCTGCAGCTCCATGCAGGTTGGTGCTGCACAATTTACAAAAAAAAAAAAAGGGTCTGGAACTTCTTTCCCTGCATTTCTCATGAGTAGTGCTGCTCCTTAAAATGAACAGGCTGACCTACCTGCAATGTGAGCACACAAATGCGCATCACATATCTAAACCTAGTCCCATATCACAATCCCATCCTTACATCAGTGTCTGCAGTCCCCACTGCACAGCACAGTTCCCTCCCCTTCACATCAAGATTCCTCCCTCTACGCCTTTTACAGAAGTGTTCTCATACTCTGACATCAACCTCCTTCAACAGTACTGTCCTCAGCCCCACCCCACATTACTGTTCTAAGTCCCCCTATTACAGTTCTCAGCCCCCTGCATTACTTTTTTCAGCCCCCACATCACTGTTTTCAGCCCCCTTTCCAGTACAGTATTCAAGTCCCCCACATTACTGTCCTCAGCCCCCCCCCCACATTACGGTCTTCATCCCCCATTACAGCCCTCCGTCCCCCACATTACTGTCCTCAGCCGCCCTCATTACAGTCCTCAGTTCCCCCACATTACTTTCCTCAGCCCCCCCCATTACTGTCCTCAGTTCCCCCACATTACTGTCCTCAGCCCCCCTCATTGCAGTCCTCAGTTCCCCCACATTACTTTTCTCAGCCCCCCCTCATTACAGTCCTCAGCCCCCCTCATTATAGTCCTCTGTTTCCCCATTACAGTACTCATCCCCCCACATTACAGTCATCACCCATTAGTCCTAAGTTCCCCCCCATTACAGTCCTCAGCCGCCACTACATTATTGTCATCTCTCCCCCCCCATTACAGTCCTCACCTGCCACCACATTATTGTCGTCTTTCCCCCCATTATTACAGTCCTCAACCACCACATTATTGTTGTCTGTCCCTCTCATTAGAGTCCTCAGCCGCCGCATTATTGTCATCTGTCCCCCCCCTTAGAGTCCTCAGCCCCATTACAGTCCTCAACTGCCACCACATTATTGTTGTCTTTCCCCCCCCCATTACAGTCCTCAGCCACCACATTATTGTTGTCTTTCCCCCCCATTACAGTCCTCAGCCACCACATTATTGTTGTCTGTCCCTCTCATTAGAGTCCTCAGCCGCCAGCACATTATTGTCATCTGTCCCCCCCATTAGAGTCCTCCTCAGTCCCCCCCCATTACAGTCCTCAGCTGCCACATTATTGTCGTCTGTCCCCCCAGTAGAGTCCTCAGCCCCTCATTACAGTCCTCAGTCCCCACCACATTACTGTCGTCTGCTCTCCCACATTACCATTCTCAACCTCCCTGCATTGCTGTCCTCAGCCTCCCCCCCCCCCCCCTCCATTACTGTTCTCAGCTACAAATTAATGATTGGTTGCTAGGACCGCTCTCTATCCTAGCAATCAATCAACTGCTTGTTTACCTTGGCCAGCTCATGCCCTCCCTCCAGAACTGTCCTTCCTCCCGCCATTGGCTTTGTGAGGATGACAGTGGTGACAGCTGGGAGAAGAGAAGGCTCCTAAATGGCGGGACCCTTGTGGTCCGGATGCAACAGTAATTGGGTCCAGATCCGGACAGCGGTCCACCATTTATTGATGCCTCACCTGAGATGACAGGGGGGCTGTGATGTGTAGGACCTGAGTCTTAGCACAAAGATTTGACTCGGACATCTGCAGGAAGAACATTTTACTAACTGGACCTCCGTGAATTTTAATGCAATATCCCTGTCCCAGGGGTGGACTGACCATTTGGAAACTCGGGCACTGCCCGAGGGTCCGGGGTCAGTAGGGGGCCCCATGAGATGCCCCTGGTACCTTTTTCATAGGCTTTTTTGAGTTTAAGCAAGGAAACAGGGGCCCCATGATCCCCTATTGCCCGGGGGCCCCATGAGTTGTCAGTCCGCCCCTGTCTTGTCCTATAGTGATGCTACATAGTTGGCTTTAGAGGATAGGTTGACAGGAAACTGGGTGGGAGGGGCTAAGTCACACAGTGCCTTCTTAGTGTCTTATTTTTCTTGTTGACTTCTGCAACGATATTGCACAGAGCCAGTCCCTTACCTCTTCTTTGGCGGTCCCCCGCCTGCGCTCTCCACACCTTTCTCATGTTCCCTCAATAGCAAGCCATGTGCTATGAGGGCATCCATGTGGGCTCATTCCTGAGCCAGGTTGTGTGCATTCATGCTTAGCACGGCTCAGCCACACTTGGTCCAAAAAAACTATTTAAAGCTCACTAAAACATGGAGTTAGTCTTTACGTATTTATTTCTCGAGCATCTACCAAAACCTGAAATGTCAGTTTAGGATGGACTGAACTTACATCTTGCATACTGTTCAACTCCATTCTATCTGAGTGCATCAAGTAAAACCGAAGAGTTACTTACAAAGAAAACATTAAAGATTTTCTCTGCTATAAAAAAAAGGGAGCGTGGGAATCCTAATTACTTACCAGATTGCTCTGAAGTCCTTGACAGGCGCCCAGAATGGAGGCGACTACATTAACACAGGGGTGTTTAAATATCTATAGATAACAGCAACATTTTTTCTTGCATTTTCCTGCTCACTTTCCAGCTATAGAAATAGGATTAATTGCCAAGCAACACTGTTGGCTGGTTTTCTGTATATTCCAACCTCCTCTTCCTAATGGCCCCACCCAGGGCGGATACGTCCATGAGTTCCCACTGGGGAACTATGCTGTGCTATGATCAGGTCCGATGCTTCCACTAGGCAAACTAGGAGGCCACCTAGGGCGCATTGCCACCTAGGGGCACCTGGGTGCAGCACAGGCAGGCAGGCATTCTCTCTATGTGGAACGCAGCCACATCATGAATGATCATCCAGCTGAGGTGTCTGGGGCCAGTCTAGCAGCTGAGCTGCCGTTCCTTCCAGTGTTCCTCTCAGACTCAGTCCTTTACTGAAAGCCAGCTGGTAAGTGCTGATCACTGTGTAGTTGCAGCCCTTCTCTTCCCATTCATCAGCGGAGGTGGAGCTGTGCCTGCAGAGGAAGGTAATGTCTGACTCTGATGTCTTGTGTCTGTGCGAGTGTGACCCAGCCATCCATCGCATGTGCAATGTGTCAGTGAGTGATGACATCATCACGATCCCAAAGCCTGCAGTTCTAGTGCCTGCTGATCTGTGTCAGTGTTGGTGTGTTGTGATGGATCTGTCACTGTGTGGGATACTCAGTTCAGGTGTTCTGTATGTGTGGGCTGGGCTGCCTGCTATCACAGCTTTTATCTCCCCCCACTGCCTGGGGAATTGCAGCCTGGGATCTGTCAGAGTGTGGATCCATCATCCTCCACCCACTGCAACTGTCACCCTGCCACCGCCAGCCACAGATAGAGGCCATCCGTGACACTCATTTTGTCTTTAATATTGGTGCTAGTGGCATCTTATGGCACTTAATTTTTGCAAACTAAAACAAATTTAGCAGTTTCATGTTTTTTTTTTTTATTTATTTTCTACTGTTTTTAATATCTTCTTGGGTGGGAGGGGGGCGCACATAGCTGGTCTTGCCTAGGGTGCAAAATAGTCTAGCACCGGCCCTGGATATGATTTTCATGGACCTTTCACATGTCACCACTTTCAAAATACCTATATCGCCTCTAGTTCTCCAGAAGAATCAAAATTTTTTATTGTACTGTTTTGGTATGTTAAGCGACTATGAGACAATACTAATGTACTAAAGAATACTTTCATGATGTTAAAACTATTACTGAGTCACCCATATTTAGTGTTTTTTCACCTGCAGATGAAAGATTGCGGGGTATTTTATATATTCATTTGTGTGGCATGTGTCCTTGACACCTACAAAATCCTGTCCTGTTTAAGGATGGGACTTAGAATAGTTCTCTGAACTCCTACAATAGATCAGCGTTTTATTGACAGACATGTGCCTATTGTATTGTTATGGCTGTAATTGTGTTCTTCAATATGGAAACGGTAACAGCAACTCAAAGATCATCAGGCTGATCAGAATGGAGAGTACTTGAGTAGAGAGCACCAGTCTAATTGTGTTAAGCAGATCAGAAGGAACTATAAAGCCCTTAAACCCCCCCCCCCCCCCCCCCCATACTATATAATCTGATAGTTCTGCCCATCTTGTTACCATCAAGCAGTGCAACATTGGCATCTTGTGGTCAAGAGTGGGTATTACAGCTTTAAAATGTTATGAATATCAATTTAATAACACTTAAAAAAGGTAAATTGAACTCTTGGATTACTGTACAATCAGGGGCGGACTGGCCATTTGGAAACTTGGGCACCGCCCGAGGGCCTGGGGTCAGTAGGGGGCCCCGTGAGATGCCCCTGGTACCTTTTTTATAGGCTTTTTTAGTTTGGGGGCAAGCCCCATGATCCCCTATTGCCCAGGGGCCCCATAAGTTGTCAATCCGCCCGTGTACAATGAGCTAGTTCGGAGTGCATAGTACTTGCATAGTGCATGTCCAACACCAGTCACTTTCAATAATATAAATAAAATCACCGCTGTGGATAAAAACTTATCTCTTCAGAGAGGCCTATCCGGCCCCCACTTAAAAATTGTACATGTATTTCGTCCATCAGCCCATCCCCCACAGTTATTACCTTTTGTGTCTCTTGACCCTCCTCTTAGATTGTAAGTTCTGATAAGCAGTTCTATCAAGTATTCATTTGCATTGTAATTGTATTGCCCTCCCTTATGTTGTAAAGTGCTGCCTAAACTGTTGGCGCCATATAAATCCTGTATAATAACCACTTTCCCACCACCCTATAGCAGATATACTGCTACGGGGCGGCATGGGTGCGATAGAGAGAGATAGAGAGAGATAGCGAGAGTGTGCGTGCGTGTGTGTGTCGGGTATTTCGGGTGGGTGAGCGGAGCCCTAACCGTGCCGCTATTCATGGCTTCAGCTGGCAATGACCGGGTCCCGGACCATGATCGAGGAGCATTACCGACAGAGGGAGAGAACTGTAAGTAAACAATACAGTTCTCCCTGTCAGGTCCTGCACACTGCTTTGCATGGCCTTGTATAGCAGAGCCATGCATAGCAGTGTGCTTACAGTGAAACACGCACAGTTAACCCTTTGATCACCCCACATGTTAACCCCTTCCTGCCCAGTGTCATTAGTACAGTGTCAGTGGTTTTTTAGCACTGATCACTGTATTTGTGTCACTGGGGATGTCAGTGGCAGTTAGTCAGTTCCCCCCAGTGTCAGAATGCCTGCTGCAGTCCCGCTATAAGTCACTGATCGCTGCCATTACCAAAAAAAAATCCCAGTATATATAACAATCATTTGTGAACTTTCATGTAAACCGATTAATTTACACGCATTTTTTTTTTTTTTTTCAGAATTGTCAGCCTTTTTTTTTATATAGCGCAAAAAATTAAAAATGCACATGTGATCAAATTCCACTGAAAGAAAGATCAATTTGTGGGAAAAAAAGGATGTAAATTTCATTTGGGTGTAGCATTGCATGACCGCGCAATTGTCAGTTAAAGTAATGCAGCGCCGAATCGCAAAAAAATGGCCTGGACAGGAAGGGGGGATCCTCTGGAGGGCAAGTGGTTTATAGTAATGATAATAATAAAAGAAATGTGCTGTAACTTTCACACAAAGGTGGTATATTAAAGCTAAATCAACATAACTAAAACAAAAAATGTGCAGCACCACGGTGTATAATTATAAACTCAATACATAATAACAGCTCAAACAGTCCATGTGCAAAAAAAAAAAAAAAAAAAAAAAAACAGTTCATGAAAGTAATAAAATGTGCCAGTGAAAGTGTTCACAATATCAAGAAAATATAACAGCATCTGCCACCTTCCAAAAGTGCTCAAAGACCAGCCACCATCTCCCTGTGAAATAAACACTCACTGGAACAGATGGATGCCCTTAGAACAGAATATAAGCCTGTGATGGGCGATATGATCTTCATGTATAATACATAAGGGGGGGGGATATGATCTCCATGTATAATACATAAGGGGGGGATATGATCTCCATGTATAATACATAAGGGGGATATGATCTCCATGTATAATACATAAGGGGGGATATGATCACCATGTAAAATACATAAGGGGGGGGGATATGATCTCCATGTATATAATACATAAGGGGGGATATGATCTCCATGTATAATACATAAGGGGGGATATGATCTCCATGTATAATACATAAGGGGGATATGATCTCCATGTATAATACATAAGGGGGGATATGATCGCCATGTAAAATACATAAGGGGGGGGGGGGGGGGATATGATCTCCATGTATAATACATAAGGGGGGATATGATCTCCATGTATAATACATAAGGGGGATATGATCTCCAGGTATAATACATAAGGGGGGATATGATCACCATGTATAATACATAAGGGGGGATATGATCTCCATGTATAATACATAAGGGGGATAGGATCTCCATGTATAATACATAAGGGGGGATAGGATCACCATGTATAATACATAAGGGGGATAGGATCTCCATGTATAATACATAAGGGGGGATAGGATCTCCATGTATAATACATAAGGGGGGATAGGATCTCCATGTATAATACATAAGGGGGATTGTGATCTCCATGTATAATACATAAGGGGGGTTGTGATCTCCATGTATAATACATAAGGGGGGATGTGATCAACATGTATAATACATAAGGGGGGATGTGATCAACATGTATAATACATAAGGGGGGATGTGATCTCCATGTATAATACATAAGGGGGGGGATGTGATCTCCATGTATAATACATAAGGGGGGATGTGATCTCCATGCATAATACATAAGGGGGGGATGTGATCTCCATGCATAATACATAAGGGGGATGTGATCTCCATGTATAATACATAAGGGGGGATGTGATCTCCATGTATAATACATAAGGGGGGATGTGATCTCCATGTATAATACATAAGGGGGGATATGATCACCATGTATAATACATAAGGGGGGATATGATCTCCATGTATAATACATAAGGGGGATATGATCTCCATGTATAATACATAAGGGGGGATATGATCTCCATGTATAATACATAAGGGGGGGATATGATCTCCATGTATAATACATAAGGGGGGGATATGATCTCCATGTACAGTGGGGCAAAAAAGTATTTAGTCAGCCACCAATTGTGCAAGTTCTCCCACTTACAAAGATGAGAGAGGCCTGTAATTGGCATCATAGGTAGACCTCAACTATGAGAGACAAAATGAAAGAAAACAAATCCAGACAATCACATTGGCTGATTTGGAAAGAATTTATTTGCAAATTATGGTGGAAAATAAGTATTTGGTCAATATGAAAAGTTCATCTCAATACTTTGTTATATATCCTTTGTTGGCAATGACAGAGGTCAGACGTTTCCTGTAAGCCTTCACAAGGTTGGCACACACTGTTGCTGGTATGTTGGCCCATTCCTCCATGCAGATCTCCTCTAGAGCAGTGATGTTTTGGGCTGTCGCTGGGCAACACGGACTTTCAACTCCCTCCAAAGGTTTTCTATGGGGTTGAGACCTGGAGACTGGCTAGGCCACTCCAGGATAATACATAAGGGGTGGGATGTGATCTCCATGTATAATACATAAGGGGGGGATGTGATCACCATGTATAATACATAAGGGGGGATATGATCTCCATGTATAATACATAAGGGGGGATATGATCTCCATGTATAATACATAAGGGGGGGATGTGATCTCCATGGATAATACATAAGGGGGGATGTGATCACCATGGATAATACATAAGGGGGGATGTGATCACCATGTATAATACATAAGGGGGGATATGATCTCCATGTATAATACATAAGGGGGATATGATCTCCATGTATAATACATAAGGGGGATATGATCTCCATGTATAATATATAAGGGGGGATATGATCTCCATGTATAATACATAAGGGGGGATATGATCTCCATATATAATACATAAGGGGGATATAATCTCCATGTATAATACATAAGGGGGGATATGATCTCCATGTATAATACATAAGGGGGGGATATGATCTCCATGTATAAATACATCAGTGGATCATATAGTGAACTTGGTGTAGAGTTATTCACCCTGAGGTCATCACAGAGGACAAGGGGGCGCTCTTTATGTCTGGAGGAAAAGAAATGTAATCTCTAAACATGGAAAGGTTTCTTCACAGTAAGAGCTGTGAAAATGTGGAAGACTCCCTCAAGAGTTGGTTGTGGCCAGCTCAGTGGATAGCTGTAGGAAAGTCCTGGATTCTTTCTTGGATACACAGAATATAACTGGATATAAGATTTATAGGTAAAGTTGATCCAGGGAATATCTGATTGCTTCTCGGGGGATCAGGAAGGTATTTTTTCCCCCCTGCAGGAGAAAATTGGATCGTGCGTTGCTGGGATTTTATTTGCCTTCCTCTGGATCAA